CCCTCAGAAGTCCTCCCTTAGCTGTCGTCTCCACAGATGTCTCCCTCAGATGTCCGCCTCCCTCAGACATCCCCTCCCCCTAGAAATCCCCCCTCAGCCTTCCTCCTTCAGAGGAACCCTCTCAGAGGTCCCAGCAGCAGCCAGTGCCCTCAGTGGAGGGCTCTCCACTACGACCTCTTTGACATGCTTTCCAGGTTCTAGTACTTCAACCATTTCTTGGTTCCCCTGTGGCACAATCCCACAAAGGAAATGTGTTTTAGAATTCACGGGCTTTTTTCTGTTCTTCTACGTGGAGTTCTAGATACTACTGTGCTTGAGAAAGTAGACATAATCAAACACTTCTCAGATTGTGTGTCGCTCCTTTTATGTGGCCCCAGTTGGTGCCTCTTCCACAATCCGAGGAGGCCATCCCAGACACATCGTGGTCCCCTCCACGCATTGGTGACCGAATGCCCTAGTGACAGGGTGCATGATGGTCACCTGCGGCCTGTGATGCCGCGGCTTCCCCAGCTGACGGGAAAGTAGACCTGGGGGATTTGACTTTCTTCTAACTTGTATAGACCATATTTCCTGAAATACCTTTGTACTTCTTTAATGATGGGAGAGTGCTCTTCCCCCTTTGTTTAAAAATGTTGCATGGCCCGAGACCTTTTATTCCCCATGTATTTAGCAATTTACCTTCTCTGTTGCAGGATGGCAAAACAGAAGAGAAAAGTTACCGAAATGACAGAGAAAAAGAACAAAAAATTGAAGAAGGCATCCACAGAAGAGACCCTGCTGGCACCTCAAGCCGTGTCGGGCACCGAGCAAGCACACCCCGAGGTAGGTACCCGTGGGGTCGTGGCGGCGGCAGGGTGGCGCACGCCGGAGCTGGCCGTGCGAGTGCTGCTCTCAGGGACCGGAGGGACGGGCCGGTGCGTCGTGCGCTAGGAGAGGTGCCCTGCCCCGGGGGATGCGTGGAGCGTGGCCTGGGCATCTGTATATAAGAATTCAGATCGTAACATAAAAATGTTTGTATCTGGCATGATATAAGTCTGCCACAAAAATATGTGCATTTAAATTTGTTTTCTGTTACCACCACGTTCTGAGTATTAACATTTTTCTTCTTTATTGCGTTCTCTTTACAATTCCTAGCATGCAGTTGGTTAAAATGGCGTAAGAAATGGTAAATTCTGACAAATTATTGCACATAAAGTAAAATTTGGTCAGGCATACATCATGTAGTGATATGGCAGGCTTTCCCCGTTCACTCGTTTGTGGGTGAGCATCACTGTTGCTCGAGCGGGACAAGGTTGGGTGTGGGTTTTGTTCCTATTTCCCACGCTTGCCTGTAAGCCCTGAACAACCTTATTCACGTCAGTGAATGAGGATGGAAGTTTGGTCCTAACAGCGTTCTTAATTCCTCGAACTCGGAGATGGTTAATGTGATTTGGGGCACATTTTATCATTTTATTTTTAAAGATCTGCCATTAGATGACAGCTTGAGTAGGTCCGTCTTCAGTTCTTTGGAAGAAAGAATTGGAAACCACCTGACTTGGTCAAGGATGTGTTGCTGGCTAGTTGAGGTTGACTTCTGCAACACCAATATCTCAAGCTCTGTTTAGTGCTCCCGAGGCGTTTATGCCCTCAGCAGTGTTCCCTAGTAAGATTTAGGGTGACAGGAGGCTTTTTTTTTCAAGGTTTATTTTATCTTATTTATTTTAGAGAGAGAGAGAGAGAGAGAGAGAGAGAGAGAGAGAGGGAAAGCGCACGCGCACATGAGCAGGGGAAGGGGCAGAGGGAGAGGGAAAGAGAGAATCCAAGTGGACTTCACCCTGAGATCAGGACCCGAGCCGAAATCAAGAGTCAGACGCTCAACCCAGGCGCCCTGACAAGTGACTTTTTCCTCACAAGCTGGGGAAAGGACCACGGTGCAGCGGGAGGAAGAGGGGAGGACCCACCTGACAGCCAGTCAACTCCCTGCTTGTGGGCCATTCTAGCCTTTTCTCAGAGCAGTTTCAGAATGAGTGCTAGTGGCATAGGGCCCTGGGAGTGCGCTCCTGGGACCACCTGTGCCACAAGGATGCCCGGGGCGAGTCTCCGTGTCCTTCAGGCTGTGTGCGCCCAGTTTGATGACTGTTGGTGCAGATCACTTGAGTACTGCATCCGCTTCGGCATCCCTGTGCTTTTGAGAGATGGTGTAAGCGCATTCATCTCCCTGTGGCCGCAGCAGTCCAGGAGCGCGAGGAGATGCTCAGCTGCTGCCCTGGGGAGGGGAGGTGTGGGGGTGGGCAGGGAGCCTGGCTGCCTCTCGGGACTCTGGTCCTGCAGGCTCTTGGCAGAGACCCGACCAGGTCGGGCAGCTCATCTGATCAGAGCGCCGCTCTACTCCTGTGTGTGGAGGTCCCGTGGTTTACCGGCGTTGGGATCAGGAAGCCTGGCTGGTGTCACTGGCACCTGCATCTTGCTCTGAATGCAGGCTCTTAGCAAACTTGTGACCCTCCCCCGCCCCAGGCCAATTCTTGTTATTCTCTGTGCTCCACCACTTGAGCCCTGACTGTGTCTGTTCTTCCTGCTTTCCAGATCCCAGATGGAAGCTGGCGAAAAGAGCTCCTTGAGCTCCCATTCGGTGGTCCAGTCCACCCCTGGTTCTTACAGAGCCGCAATTACACATGATTTTCTTGGGCTATTTCTAGGATACTTTCCTGCTTCTTCTAGACTCCTCCAATTTCTTTAAAATAAACCCCATTACTGGGGCACCTGGGTGGCTCAGTCAGTTGAGCATCTGATTCTTGGTTTTGGCTCAGGTCATGATCTCAGGGTCCTGTGATCAAACCCCCTGTCACGGTCTGTGCTCAGTACAGAGTCTGCTTGAGATTGTCCCTCTCCCTCCCCCTTACCCCCCCCACCCCCCCATGCACATACACGCTTGCTCTCTCTGTCTCACAAATAAATAAATAAATCTTTAAAAAATAAAATAAACCCTATACTATCACCCTGGTGATTTTAAGTTTTGTCATAAAACTTCCAGCTTTCCTTTCTTGATGATCTCTGCTTGCTGGCTGCCAGTCACAGGCAGGACCCACAGAACAGTGTGGGTTTATGGCAGACATCAGCATGGGTTAGAATTTCTGCCTAAGATCCAAGGTTATATTCTTTTTTTTCAGTTCAGGTCATTTTATAACAGTATGTGATTGTTTTTTTGTTATTAAAGTACATGTTGATTAAAATAAATTTGGAAAACAAAAGAGGAGCTTCTGGTTTCTCTTTTGATGACTAGGTTTTTGTTTGATCTGTGACATAGTGGAGGAGGTTCCTGGTAGAGGCACGTGCACTTTTGCTTCCTTTTCTGTGTCTCGGGTGTTGAGGCTTGGTGGCAGGCTGGCCCAGTCCAGGAGCAGGAAGTGGGCTTTGAAATCCACCTGTGGCCTGCAGAGGAGATTAAGTGCGAAACCGGAACCGGCCAGCAGGGGTCGCAGCCTCTCTGCCTACAGGCAGCCGGTGCTTTCTTTGCCCAGTGTGTTTCCAGGCCCGGGGAGGATTTTTAGGTCGGTCTCTGAATGAGGTGCTGTGTTTGTGGGCTTGTGCCCTGAAGACCCCTTATATTGTTGGGGCCAGTCTCCCAGGGAAGTGGAGACTTTTCTGGGAGGACATACCTTGGGTTCTGCTAATAAAAGTAGTTCTTCACTCTGTGGTTCTCATGGGAAATTATGGAAAAGCAATGTCAGGCAGTTTTTAGAGAGAGAACATTGAATGCTGCACCTAATCTTAAGGAGGGCGGGTGGACCGGGCCTGGAGAGCACATCCTCTTACCCTGGGAGCTCGTGGAAAAGTACTGTGCTGTCCCCCCACCGCCCTGGCTCCAGGATCAACCTCCGGAATCCACATGAAGAACAGAGAAGCCTCTGTCCCCACTTGGACCACTGTGTTGTCCTCCCGGGACTCTCCGTCTGGATAAGCCTGTGGGACCCTGTGTGGCCACTTCCCACAGCACAAGCGCCCTGAGCCTGTGCCAGGAGGGCTGAAGTTTCCCCAGTGCTTGCCGTCTATGGCCCCTGGGGGCAGCCTCCTGGGAGCCAGACTTCCCACTGGGAGGGGGGCCTTGGCACACCCAGTGGGCTCATCTTGTTTGACTTCCATGCACTCTGGACGCGGGAAGCCGTCTGTGCAGCTCTGGACACTCCGAACCTTGTGCCCCTCTTCACTCCTTCGTTTGTAAGGCTCACTAGCCCATTAACCTGCCAAGGCCCTTATGGGTCTGAATCTTGGAGAGGGTGTTTGTGATGTCCTGGGACGGGGCAGAGCCCTCCTGATGGCTTCCTCAGCGTCCTGGTAACTGGTTCTGGCTGGCCGGCCGCCGGCCTTACTAAGGACCTACCGCCTGTGCTACACCCTCCCCCGCCGTCCTGCTGGATGGTCGCCCAGGAGGTCAGGGCTGGGGTCCACAGGCCTGTCCTCTTCCAAGGATGATGCCCTGGACCAGAGAGTCTCCACCCATTTCATGGCTTCTTGAAACCCTCCTGTGAGCCTGGGCTTAGGGGCTGGACAGTCAGACCTTCCAAGTTGCTGGACCCCTTCCACTGAGAGGGTTGCAAATATTAAATATTAGACAGCAGGTGTATTCAGAGGGGCTGTGTCCCCATTATCAGTTGGTAGAGGAAAGGGCAGGAGGTTGTGGTGTTGATCCTGCAGGTCTTCCCACCCCCGCTGAGGAGATACTCCATGATTTGGTTTCTGTCCCAGACCCTGAGCCACACGCCAGGGAGATGGCATCATGCGTCTGCCCCCTCAGGGTCAGTCAGGCCACTGCATGCCTTGGGGAACATGTGGGAGGGGGTCCTGCAGTGCATGCAGCTTTGGCTGTCTGGAGACAGCAGGGGTGGCTGGTGGTGAGCAGGGGCCTCCTCCGTTTATCTCATGGGTGAGAACCCCTGTGTTTGCACTGCCCTGGAGTTATCATGGGATAGCTCTGGGATGCCACAGGGTCTGGCTGTTGTCCTGGCTACACGCGAGTTGACCAGAGAGGCTGGTGCTTGCTCGGTTACCTGGCTCGCTGGGGTAGAGAAAAGGCTCGCAGTTGGGTTCCCTGCGTCTGGCCCCTTTCGGAGCACATGAGGAAGACTCTGGGAGCGGGGCCCTCCGTGTTGCCCGGCCTGGCCCCTTAGGGTAGCTGGGCGGGGACTTGCCAGTCAGTGACGGCTCAGCCGTGTGCATTGGCAGCAATGCCTAGCACCGTATAAGGAATATACCCGGCTCCTTTTTGGCATCTGCTCTCACACTATAAATGTTGGTGATGTGCTTCGGAGAAAGATCTCGGATTTGTTGAGCAGACCGTCCCACGTTGGGAATGACAGTGCATTCCTGAAGTCTGCAGGGCATGGTGACAATAATAGCCACTTTTCTTCTTTTGGAATATAATGTGCTGTGCATTAGCCGTTTGGCTCCTGAGTTCCCAGTGCAGCCTCGTGTGCCCCTTGTGTTTTCATGGGCTCTACGGGAACGTGGCCAGTGACAGCGGGGCTGGACGTGGCCCGGGCTCCGCACTGCCACACTCCGAGAGGTCACAGAGTATTGCTTATCTGGAAGGGAAGCACAGCTACTCCATGTGGACCGTCTTTTTTCCTTCCTTTGTAATCTCAAAAATGGGGTAGGAATTACGGCCATGAGGCCAACAAGTACTTTATAAAACCATCAAATGAGGTTGTGAACTTTAGGGCCTTGAGAATTCGCTCAGAGCCAAAATACTTCATTCTGATGGTATTTTGCCTCAAGAAATTTTACTGGTCTGGCAGTAGATTTTTTGTTGTTAAGCTAGTGGGGGTGAGGGGATGCTAATCTTTATA